CTGCTGGAAGAGCTGCACTGGTGGTCAGCTTTTCCACAGAGACAGCCTGTTTATGCTAACTGATGGCATCTCATTAAAATCACCACAAAAACTGCCACTTTTCAGTTCCTGGGTGAAGAGAGGCTTTGTCATATTTTCTATTGGTTATTTTTTAACACCTGGCTATAAATATTTAGTGATACACCAATTTAGCCTGCCCTGCTGCAGGGAAAGGCATTTTTCTGCAACATTAAGCCCCTAGGGCAGGTACACTATAACTAGGATGCAGTAAAGCATGATGGCAGCTATTTTCATTTTGTTTTGTATATGTACCTGGAAAATGAAATATGTTTGGCTGAGTCACTTTGCTTGGTAATCTTTTCTCAATCCCTACATTGAGTAACCATGTATTACAATGGGTGTACTGTGTAGGTCACACAGCGGTATGATTTCACTTCATATTTTTGTGGCTGGAATGGTGTTGACTAATGCACATGCTGGTAACAGCAAGCCGTGCTGGTAGATTATAAAAATTGAGCTGTTTCTTCCATGGACAAGGGAAATCCTGCCCAAAAAGTACCTGCTCTGCAAGAAGTATAGGATGCTACAACTGCTAGCTCTGGGCACTGCTTTCTCAGATTGTTTTATTTATTCCTAGGAGGCTCTGCTAGAACAAATCCTGCAAAAAACTTGAAACGGGAATACCTTATCACTGGCTAATTTATCAGTTTTGTTTGTTTGTTTCTTAACTTCAATTTGTACCGACTATCTGGTTTAATGGGGGAGGAGGCAGGCATGGGACAACACTGGAATACTTTATCTGGAGTTATTTGAGTGCAATTAGCCATCAGGGAATAACTTGCCAGAGTAGAATCCTGTATTCCACTGGAGACATCCAGGAAGGTGGTCTGTTAAAAGCATGGCGTTCCTCCAGAAGATGTTGCTGCATATTTGATACATTCTTTTTCATAAGAAATCTCAGCTCGAATGGAAGCCTGCAGCCATTCAAATCTCTGTAGAGGGACCATCAACCAAATGATCCAACTATTCATCCTTTTTCTTTCCTCGCATGCATCAGGACAGGGAGGGGAGATATTGCAGTGCTACATCAAAACTTAGTAGAAATCAAGGCATTCAGTGCTCATCTGGCGCTTGAAACTGTAGATAGGAAGGACACACAAAGGAAAAGAGGGTGAATATAATATCACAAGCAGAGGAAGCAGCACGTTTGTGCTGTGGTAAGCAATCTTTGTTTTAATTCCGGTTGGAGTTAGGGAAGTAGCAGTCGCAGAGTGGAAGAGTTCAGAGGGCATAGCAAGGCACTTGAGTGTTGAGGAAGGAGAACACGTGAAGAATGAAACTCATACGACAAGTCTGAAGTCTAGCATCTTCTGAAAACACATTGTCTTGGTCGCAGCTCCTGGCTGCAAAGTCTGCAGGATGCTTCTGTTCTGGATCTTGTGAGACACCAGTTTATTCGGTCTGGGAAGCCAACTGTATTTGTTCCATCATTTTGTGCAATTTTGAGGGGTAGGAGCCTGAATGTGCTTCTGAGGTGCTACAGTTCTACTTTGGGAATAAAGAGTGACCCTCAGTAAACCCTGTTTTAGCCCCTCTCCCAGTGCATGAGGCTGCCTTCTTGTGTCTCCAGGCTTTAGCATTGCTCAGTATCCGATATGGCTCAGGCAGCAAAAACACAACTGTCACATAGAAGTAGAAGAAAACTACTTCCAAATGTCAAAGATATCAGGTTTTGCTTGTTTGCCAGCACGTAATCAGGTTTGTTAAATTGCATTTTTCTTCCCGTTGCCCTGTTCTATCTCAAATAATTGCAATTACATCCACTAAAGCACATACTGGTTATGCGGGCTCATAAGAGAAATGCCTCTTTGTTAGTTTTTTATTTCCTAGGAAAAGTCCATTTATAGACCTTACTTTACATTAAGCCAGATGCAAACCTAAATTAAAGCTAAATGAAATGGTTCCTCTTTCAAGATAGCATCTACATTGCTTGAGAAGGTATTCTTCATGATTGCATTGATACCACTACCCTAACCACTTTTTTGTTATGTAAGAATTACAATCTTTTAAGGGAAATGATTGCAGATCACTTCTCTAATCATGAGGTCAGGCAAAAGAATGACTTTCACTCTAAAATTTATTTGAAAATTAATTGTGGTGTGCACAATTGGCATATTTGTTTTGTTGGTCTGTGTGTGCTGTGGAGCCATTTTTCTACTCAGATGTAATTTATTAGTCTTTGTTGGAAAACAGACTTGGTGGGTTTTATTTCTATGCTAATAAATGCTTTAAGAAAAACCCTAGAGATTATATCAAATTAAGTTTGATTTTTTTTTTTGTTTGGGTCATAGCTGGACAAAATTAATATTGTGGATGTATCGTATAAAGCTCTGCTGACTGTCATGAGAAGTTATGAGGTCTGTTTTGCTGAAGTTGGGTACTGAATAAAAAGCCCAAGTGCTTTGCATGGTGTGTTTGAGTTAGAGGAGGAATCATGAGTTAGGAACAATAAAAGACATTTTACCATTCTCAGAACTTTCTTTTGGCACATCTGCAACTTTCAAAGGCATTATGATTTGAAGAAGAGGCTGAAAGGGCAAATGTGAATTTGAACATTTTTTAAAACGTTTTTAATGAAGCACGCTTAACTTAGTACCTCATAGCTTTGTTTCAAGTATCAAAATTTCAGGTTAAGTTTTCATAACAAATGAATGCGAATGGGTTTTGCTCCATCTTGTTTTTCTACTGCAGCAGGCCTACAGACTCATTTGACTACCTTGAGTTTCACACACAATCTCCTTGAAGCTGCTGCAGTTTAATAGTTTCCCAGCAATACTTGAAAGTGCTGCTGACATCAATACTCATTGCAAGATTTCTAACAAATCTGATGTGTAAGTAAGGGAGAGGGGGCTTAGATCCTCCTTAGATTTAGATGGTCTAAATGTCTTTTCAGTATGTTTCCACTGGAGTTCTCTGTGGGTTAAAGTTTTGGGGAGATGGATTTGCACAAAGTATGAGGAAGAGACCGGCTGTAACTGTCCCTGCCTCCCCAAGAATGCAGTGCCTCTGTGCTGAGCAAACATTCCTAGCACACCAGTAAGCTACACATTTACAGAGTCCAAACGTGTGGATGCATTTTCAAAGGTTTAGCAAGTTTCAGATGAAGAAAGCAAGCTGAAAATAATCGTTCTATAGTAGATATCTTCCTGACCCACACAATCATTTGGTGCAATGCACTTCCCTAGCAGCCCAGCTGGCTTAAGAAATTTTCTCACCATATTTTTCTACCCACTCAGTAGTACCACAATGAGAGTTTTTGCAGTTGTGTTGTAAACTAGTACAGTGAACTAACCTAGGCTAAAAATAAACTTGTTTCCCAATTCCTTTTTCTGTGTGCTAGTTCATTTCATCTCTTGACAGTAGATGCTTTAGATTAGAACTAGAGCATCTTTCAGAGTAAATATAAACCGCTATCAGTGCTGCTAGGAAAGTTTCACCTGGTCTCTAGACAAAGTATTCTGCCTGCTAGAGCTGCCAAGCTCTATACCTCAACACTAAATGCAGAAATGTACATATTTATATACAATAAAAGCTAACTTCTCCTGTGGGTTTACGTGTGTACTTGACTTAGTCTATGCTAAAGATAATGTGAATGTCAATACTAATACAGATAATGGAATTAAATAATATCTTTAAGTACAATTTATTTAATATATCCTTTAAATCACTTCAATTTAAAGATACTTATTTTGCCCTCACTAGGGTAGCCAGCTGGATAGCATCAGATAGGGATAGCCTACAGCAAAGTCCTAAAATTCACTGTCTTTCTGACATGTTTATCTTTGCTGTTATCTTGGGGGTGGTTTTGTGTTTAACCTGGCAATGTACATGACACTGGAAACTACTTCAGTAAGGCAGATGCTGGGAAGCAGGCAGACATGCATCATGTTTTGTTGCTGACAAATGAGAACAGTGCTTCAGGCTTTAAATGTGGCTGTGTCTTCATTACAAATTGCAGTTCTGCTGTTCTGGACACGTGCCTGCTGCTGCTAAAGCCAGATGTTAGCACTAGAACTTTTCGTGGATAAGACAGGTTTGTGTCAAGTCCTTAATTTAACCAATTCATGTTCTATTTTATTCATCTATTTTTAAAACTTCTGTCACTGCAATTTTGATGTAATACAACTGAACATGTTTGTGGAACAATTTTGTGTGGCCTGCTATTTTTGCATTTGAAACATCTTCTGTCAAGGGAATAAGACTGGATATGTTTTGTCTTCCCCATTTCTAGCCAGACTGTATAAATGATTCTGAATTGGAGCCAAAAATCAGTGCTGGAAAACATTAAGCACCATACAGGTGTCTGTATTTAAAGATTTTATTTTATTTTTAATAATTGGAGGGAGATGAGTTTCATCAGCATGGTCGTTAACTTAATGACATAACTGTAGCTTATTTTATATAACCAATCTTCCCCAGCCAGACCTTAAGTAATATACATGACACTGATAATGCATTAAGGCAGCAGCACCACAGTGCTAATAGTAGGGCATGTGGCATGCACGGAGTAGAGTCCTACATCAGCTCCTGCTGGTGGTGTGTGGTGTTGGGCCCATTGCGAGCGCGGTATCTGAAGTCAGCCTTTTTCCAGTGCTCCCCACAATGGGGCTATGCTGCTGTAAAGATAACAGGAAGGAAAAATAGGCAAGATTTCAGCAACATGACAACGAAACATGTAATAAAGAAATACAGGAGTAATGCTTGGTATCAATGTAACGTATGTATAAACATGGTTTCTCTGGCTTTGGATAAAATTACTCTATTTGGATGGAAGAGGCTACTAACAAGCATGGGAACAGAGTACCTAAAGAAGCCTAATCTTCATAAAATGAAGGGTTGCAGAAGTGCCATGCTAAACTGAAATGGAATTGCTCAAGTATTGAAAATCAGCTCTGCGTGTCATACAATAAATAAATAAATAAAAGAGAGAGAGAGAGACTGCCCGTGAGGAAGGTAACCAGTTATGGCACGAGGGGATCTTCTAGAAGAAATGTTCTGATTTCAGATGGGATAACTGGGCTGTGAAGCAGAGGCATCTATGACTGCAATCTCAAGAAAGAGTGTAGGGAAAAACTGGGTTGTGTGTAGGTCTCTGTCGTCACCACGGGAGGGAAGAGGAAGCTGGGTTACAAATCTGACACGCTTTCATTTGTTGTTTTGCTGATCTTCGACAAAGACAACCTGATGCAAGTACTAATAATCCTGCGTGATGATCATAATTTCACTGAAACTTCTTTTGACAATGTGTTTTGGCTCCTTAGGTAAGTGCTGTATATTGTTTTCCTTTTTTTATAGTTAGTCACTTGTAATACTTGACCTGGATTTAGAAAAAGGAGAAGAAAAATGTTCTCAAAGTATATAAGCCTCAGACTTGTGCGTGTGTGTATGAGGCAAGGAAAATGTAACGTATATTATCATAATGTAGAGATCAAAGTGTGGGGGTAATCAAAAAGCATTTTTACCAAGAGATTGTTGTGGAAAAAGTGTAGAGGAACAAATCTTAAACACCCAAAATGATGCTAGGTTAATGCAAGCGCTGTTTTTGTTAGACCTTTCTACTTGAATAGTTACCGTAGCAAACACCAATTGTAGAATTTTAAAATGTTGAAGCTTTCTTCTAGAACATACAGGTACCAAAATATGAAGCAGGTCAGGTTTCATTTTTCTTCAATACAAATTGCATTGGATAATGCTGAATGCCTTAAAAAAATAAGAGGGAAAGAAACAGAGAAAATAAAACGTGAAGCAACAACAAAAAGATATCTTTAGTGGTGAGGTTTTTATAAAGACAATAAAGCAACAAGACCAATGTAACAAAGCCTGTAACACAACTGTATTTTAAATGACAAAACAAGTGAGCGGAAGAACTGAAATTAATGATCAGTTCTTTGAACAGCTTCTAAGTTGTTGTTTATACACTACAATTCTTTCCCTAATTTTTCTGCTGTTTATTACCCCTATACTGTCCATGTTGTTCTCTGCTTTTAATTTATGCAGACTGTTTTAGTCTACATCTTAATGCAAAGTAGTGCTGTTATCCACAAACTGACAACAATAAATTCTTATTTGGAAGGAGCCTACATGGCAAGTGAAAAAAGGTTGGCGTTTAACATGAAGTACTCATAGCTCATGATAGAAATTCAAACTGCTTTTATAAGCCTCTGCTCCTGTTGTTGTTTGTTTTTTTTTCCCATCTATGTCCAATAAGAGTTTTTTAAGTGATCTCTGTGTGAGGTGGTCAGGGTTCTTCATAGTGCAGCTGGGGGCACTGGGGTGGTTGAAATGGAGCTGTTGTTGAGCACTGCACAGTGGAAAAAAATAGAGGTGCTGAAATTCATTAGGTATGATGAGTGCTCTTCTTTTAAGAGCAAAGGAAAAACATAATTTGTGTAATTCTGATAAAATTTGCCATTTTAGGACTAAATAAGGGCCAAATCATTGCATTCCTTATATATTGTTGTAAAGTGAATCTCAATTACAGGATAAAAACTGGAAGAAAATCATGCAGGTTATGCTCACTATGTTCCTTACTTCATAGTAAGGAACTTCATAGTTTTTCTTCTAGCACGTACACATGCGAGAAGAAAAACAATTCTTCATGCAGCATAATAATCATAAAAATCATAGAAATTAATGGTCTCAGCAGTCTGAGAATACGTCTTTTTATAACACTGGCATATTTGTTATGAGCATCAGTGTCATTAGAATCGAGGGGGGGGGGAAGTTATCTGATAACCATGGAGTAATCTCACATCAGAAGAACATTTTGCACATTGTTGCACAGTACTTCATGTAGATAATCTTGCATCTTGGTGGCAAGTAATGAAGAGATTCAAATCAAGAAAGGTTTGCTTTCCGCTGACACTGTGCAAGTCACACTGAGCTAAAAGTTTTGCCACAGACCTGATGAAATTATTGTGGTCTGAGTGGAATACTAAACCACTTCTGCAGCAGCAGCTTAAAATGAAAGACATTTAAATAAAAAAGTACAGAACTCAAAACAAAAATGCTGTAATTCTTGTCACTAATTAGAAGCAGGGCAGGACAAGAACTCCTACATAGTGACAAAAAATTGTAGTGGGTTTTTCATTCATTTTGATAAGTATTTCATTATTGATGAATCATTCTGGATGATTCCTTTTGGTCATTCTTTATCTGGCAGACAAAAACAGAGTGGTTTAAAAAGTTTCAAATTCAACTCTTATAAAGCTTTTTATTTAGAAGAAAAAAAAATGCTTATCAGCAAGTACAAAGAAAAACTTTGTGTTACGCACAAACAATGATGGAGGGATTTAATGCACTGACTAAAATTTCCTTTAGCTATAATGTAATTGCCAGTATTTAAGACAGAAGTGCATAGTAACTAGTCTTTAAAAATTAATGTCATAATTATTTTATAGTGTTAGCATTTATAATATTAGCATTATTTTAAATACTATGATTGTAGATGTTACAGGTGTTATGTCATCTTCTTGCCTCTTTCATTTTAAATGTATGTGTATTTCTCCCACTAGCTACAGGTCCCAATAACTTAACAGTCATCCAAACACCAACAAAAATACATCTGTCAATTGGAGACTCCACTGAAATTGCCTGTATTTGGGAAAAATCAATTATAAGATATAGAATAAGCTGGTATCTTGTTACTAAAGAGAATGTAACAAAAACTATATCATCAAGCCTTCTCTATTTACCCAACGTCACCCATGACAACAAGGATGTGCTAGTGCTAAAAACTGTCAACGTAAATGACACTGGATTTTACTACTGTGAGATAATTATTGAAATACCTTTCTGTAAAAAACTCTGTGGAAGTGGAACAACGTTGATCGTTGAAGAGAAAGGTAAGCTAGCATGAGCATGTGCATGCCTCTTAGATTGTCATCGTAGTCTTCAGTCTGAACTGCTACACATTTCCTCTCTCTCCCACATACTTCTTTCAACACTAAACATCTCAAAATGAGTGATATGAACAGAGGGAGGACTTGACTGACTCCTTATGACAATCACTTTAAGGTCTCTGTATTAACATCCCCAGTGTGAGACATATGTTTTATTCTCTAAGGGTTTTTTAAGAAGAATTAGTACTGTTAGGGTTCACAAAGTCTGTGTATCAGCAGCATATTTCATAAAATCCCTTCTTTAGAGGTATCCAGTAAGGTGTAGACATGAGACGATGAATTTATCTGTTGTGTGTTGCGGATCTGCTGAAATAATCACATGGTCACTCTATCCAGTAATATGCACTTTATCTTTTTTGTTTTTTTAACATGTTCTTAATAATAAAAAATGGGAAGGAATGAAATCAATATGGGAGATGTATAATGTCTTTGAGAATTTTTGTCCATTGAGTTCTGACAAATTCTTTTCTTGCGGTGGTTGTCTTTAAAGGTTAGTATGTGACATTAACAGAGGGGAACAATTTAAGGTCCCAGTTCTGAATTAAGCATTGAGGACCATTAATAGAATGCATATTCATTCACAATTAAACTTTTAGACAGTGAGGATGAGATATGCTTTACCTAACATTAGAGAGTGTGTCATACCTGGAAATCACTTTATCTCTTTTGTGTTACACAGCTGTCTCAAAATACTATGCATCACTTCTTGAAAATGCTGATCTTTCTTTTTCTACCTCTCAGTTATAGAGAAAGACTAGGTGACTAGTTCTGACCAGACCTTTAACATTATCACATATCTGATATTAGCTGCTTGAGTCATGGGAATTAACCTTTCTGCTCATTCAGCACAGCCCAGTTTTGGACACTAATTTACACTTCTGACCAACTGATTGTCCAAATGGAGGCAGAAAACTGATCAAAAATTTAGGAAAAAAAAAAAAAAAAAAGTGAATGAAAGTGTTTTCCTTAAGGGAATTAAATGATACCATTTATCATTTGGTCAAGTATTAGTAGGTTTAGAGCAGAACAGAAAAGATTCAGATTCACTTAGTGGGGGGGAGAATGACTTTCATTACTGTAGGAATAATGAGCTATAGGAGGGATTGATGTTAATGATCATCATGTAGGCATCCATCAGGAATGAAGAAGTATGGATGACCTTGCACATGGGTAGGGCGGATAGACTAATTAGCTCCCGCAGTTCTTTCAGTTCTTTTGTTTTATTTTATTGTGATGTTGTTCTGCGATTGTGTCTTTGAGTTGTGTATAACTTTACCTTAAAAATGTAATTGCAGCAGCTCAGTCATCGGAGAAGAAAGTTTTGGCAGTTTGGGCCATCATTCCTTTCTTAGTGGCAGTGGGAAGCTTGTATTGCTGCTACAAAAAGAAACGGAACTCAAAACTTTCTGGTGAGTGGCAATATTTCCATTAACACATAGTTTCTAAGCCAAATGCTTATTTTGAAGTGGCTGAACTGGTGCACTTGAGGCATCACTGAGAAGAATTTCAAAGTGTAACTTTTGCTCACCTACTCTTGACCTCCAATGAGCACCCCAAACTGAGCAACTTGAGAGGAGGGATCAGAAGGCACTGCTCGCTGAATGTTCACTGTTCAAGTGAGCTTTCTTGCAGCCTCTTGCCTCTGTTATTTCTGTTTCCAGAAAGAGTGATTACTTAAAAAGCAACCTCCAGAATAACCAGATCTCCATCGCATAAGGTGTGCTGAGAAACCCGGAGGTAGCTGGTTTCATCTGCAAGCTGAATAGTGCTCTAGCACCTGTCATTGACTAGTCATACACGAGCTCTTCACTCTTCATTTCAGTGCTCTATATATCTCTTTACATTTACTCTGATAAACAGAATCACAGAATTTCTAGGTTGGAAGAGACCTCAAGATCATCGAGTCCAACCTCTGACCTAAACTTACCAGTGTGAATCTGGAAATGGACAATAAGCAAGAAGTGACCATAACTTTCCTTTTGCTAAGGTTCTGCCCCACTTCCTGTGCCAGAAGGAGGGCGTCAGGAGGAGCAGACCCTTGAGGCAGCAGAACTTTGTGGGAGAAATGAATCTACCAGTGAAGAAGCTGAATGGGTAAGTGGTTTATAAAAAGACTTTCTCTTGGTTTAAAAAAAATAAAAATCTTATAAATGCCAATGCTCTGAAATAAGGAAAAAGATACTACATACTAGGAAAGTATTGGACAATGCTTTTACGTTTATATTTAATGACTCTCTTGAGTCTGAAAAGGAAGGCAGCAAAAAGTGAGCATCAACAACATAAAGACAACGTGGAAGAAATGTCGAAGTCAAAAATGGCAATAATGTCACTTGTGTGTGTCTCTCTCTCAGGAGATTCATCCCACATTTATTGAGCTGAGATACTCAGGGAGTGTTTCCCCAGTGGTTCTGCTAGTTGCAAGGGAATCTGTCCCTTGAGGAAATTCTTGAAACAGCTGATGATTTTTTCCACTGCTAAATTTTTCAGGTTCCAGCTTAAATCTAAAGTTTGCTGTAGCTTTAATGCAAACTCCAAATCCCATGGAAGCACACAAAACCCACTCTCCTGAGGGCCTCTGACTGTGCAAAAATGAGTGGAAGCATGGTCCGCACGAGTTACCCATGCTTCCTCTTTGATATTCAGTCAGCAGGTCTCTCTTGGTGATCTGAACATATGTTATTAAAGCAGAAGCAGTAAACCTCCATAATGAAGCGATGGCTTTTTGTCTTCATGCTTTTACAACATCCACCTTTTCACTATTTTACAGTCAGGTTTTTTTTATTATTATTTTTTTTGACACGTCTGTGAGCACAGACCTGTGTGCACATTTCAGAGAGATCACTGTTTTTCAGGTTTTGCTAAAGAACTTACTTGAAGATCCAAAATTCTACATATGCTTAGAAAATGAAAATAGGGTGATTTTTGCACAGTCCAGGATCTGAACTTGTATTTGGATACTACGGCAGAATTTGCCTTTACAGACCTTACCTTTCAGTGTTAGTAATGAGTCACTCTTTCCCTTTGAAATTAATATATCCATGGTTCTGTGATGTGTCTTGAGTATAAGTTTCTTTTAAATAGACTTTACTGGAAAAAGTTTTGACGGAAGTTTTCCTTGCTTTTTAAGGCTGTGTCTACACTTTATGAATCACTTGATTCTTTCTACTATGAATCAAAATAAAAGATGACAAATCCACCGTCACTACTGTATCCAGTGCAACAGATGAGCAAATCCCACAACGAGGGCAGCTGCAAAGTGTAGAACAAGAGCGAGGTGAGGATCTGCCATCGACTTTGACATTCAAAACTAAAGAACCATGTAATAAATACAATATGGTTAAACATTTTATGAAACTGAAAACATTATAATAATATGCTGCTGAAAAATGGATTACATGAGTTTCCTGTGAGAAGTATGCAAGAGGAACGATATACAAGAAAAAAGGTTGGTTTGAAAGAATTTTGAATGTTTTGTCACTAACTTTATTGTAAGGAGTCTGAATTTTGAGAGTATGTAAGTTTAGAAGACTGTCTTCAACTCTTTCTCCCCATATCCGGAGTGCAGGAATAATAAAGAATGTATTATACTTTGAAAAATCTTCTGGACTGAACAACTTTTTCCAACAAAAGCTTTTATTTAGGCAGCCCATGTATACATAGCAGAAGGTAATGAAAAACTGCACATCATGGTCATCACTTGAATAAACAGACAATACTACAAATAGGATGAAGTCCAGTCTCTGAGAAGATCATCCATGCTGACAACAGCATAGCAAAAGTGGTGTGCCAGGAGGTTTTATGTTGCTGTGGAAGGGTACAGCTTCTATTCATTCACAGTGCTCTGAGAAGTATTCCAGAGAAGGTAGTCTCTTATGTACAAAGAAATGCTTGGTTTAAATGAAGTTATATATAACATAGTTATGTATAATTATTGCCTGCTCAAAGAGATTTGTCTGGAACAGATGTGAATGTTAACGCTTTTTCCCCTTTTGCCAGCTCTAAAACTTCATAAAATCACTGAAGAACTAAATCAAAACTGAAAATGTAAGTAAATCCTGGCTTCCAGGGTCTGATTAGGGGTGAAAAACATTGAGAGCAGAGTGACCGGCAGTTGTCCAAGGACTGCCAACTACAAAGAACAGATATTGGAAATGTGAATGTATTTATGTGACAGGTTTGTTTTGTCCTCTGAAGGATTTTCAGAGCTTAGCTGGAGGTGAGACCATCTTGCTGATGATGTAGGGGGAGAAACAGCTCCACTGCTCTTCCAGAAGTTTGTTACAACCTGGGCATTGCAGTAGACACAGACCAGCTTCCCCAGAGGCCCTGAAAGCAGTTGGCACTATCTAAGTGTGTGACTGCCTTGCTGCTCAGCATCCTGCAATGAAATCTTTGGGACTGTACAGCACAGCTTGTGCTCTGGCTCTTCCTGTGCTATAGTGACTACAGTTTGCAAAGCTAGTTCTTGAAGTGCTGTAGCTTCTGGCCCCCTGCTTGGTGTGTGTCCTGGTCCCTGGAATGTCCTGTAACCTGCCCTGAGGCATTCTGGAGAGTGTGCTGTTGTTCAAAATACTCTAATCGCTGCTTTGTGAACATATGCCGTATGAGAGAAACAGTTTCTTATACTGCATCTTATACTACAATTTATGTATAAATTAAATAAAGCAAGAGGATTTTCTTTTCCTCCTTCTGAACTTCAGTCATTTTAAAATCTTATTATTTTTTGTCCTGAAACTCATTACGGATGTTTCCTATACTGCATGGTAAAACACTACCCTGTGCCATATACTCTTTTGAGGTTCACAAACATGACTCCGCTATATTTCTGCAAGCCCTGTAACTTTGTCCCCTACACAAGAAAGTCAAAATGGTAAAAAGGCTGATGACCTTCATACCAGGTCAAGAAAGCTCTCGGTTATGCATCAGAGCTGTAAGTGGGTGTGGTAAATTTTGGTCAATCCATATATGTTACTGGTTATTTCTATATTTAAGCACTGTGAGAAAATGTATGATATTCGGGGAATTTTTCAAGGAAAGCTACCAAATGTGGCTTGGTGGCAATCTTAGTCTGTAAATCATATTTCCATTAAAACACCAGAAAAAAAATGTTGATTAAATGTGGTTCCTACCAGCAACGTCACCTTTCTAACAGCTGCTCCTGTTTTGTATGTTAACATGGTAATTTCCAACATCTGGCATTTGAAGATTACCCCCAATTTATCATAACCTATGAGCCAGAAGGCTGTTTTCAGAGCTCCAGCTGGTGGTCCAACTCAGTCAAAAGGACTTTGACACCTGTGCATCATGTGTATCACCTTTCTCTGCTCCTGCACCACTTGTAAGTGACAAACCCTGTCCCAGGCAGGCAGACTTGTCAGGCAGACTTTACCTTCTTCATGGTTATTTTGCTAGATTTAAAAGAAAAAGAGCTCTTAAAGAGAATCCTGGGCATTTGTTTTTAGCCAGTTTTGGTGGTCAACATCTCTTGGACAGGCTGGTGCAACAGTTTGAGATTTAAAGTCTTACTTTAAGCACAGGCCAAAACACACTGATTTAAGAGCAAGACTGCCACAACATATTCTAAAGCCTTGTATGTCTTCTTCTGTGCTTTCAGTGTCTCAGCAAAGTACTGGGCTTAGTCACAGGTCCGCAGCTGAGGCTCCCTCTCTGTTTTTGTCATGCTCAGGGCACTGGTTTAGAGCACTGGACTTCTCAGTCTCTTCTATTCAACTTGAGACTGCTGCCCTCAGCTCTTGCTCTTCCTGCTCCATTGCACACAGATTCAAGCTTGATTGATCTACCTGGCTCTTGGGCAGCTGGTCTTAGCAGCTGGTACTGGTTGTCTCAGTCAAACCATGCTTACTTTCCAAAGTAGTCCTTCATAGCATCTGTAGAAGAGGAGTCTGGAGCAGCATTTCTCCCTGCATAATGTCAGGCACCCTTGGTAGCAGGCAGGATGAGGCAGAGCCCCAACCACCATTCTGGCAAAATCGTTGTGTTTGTGTATGTGATGCTATGACTAATGTTTTTGTGTCTGATAATGGTGCTTTCAGAACGGCAGTGACATTAACTTGGTTGACTAAAATTCATTTGAAACCTGGTTTTATCTAAAGTGATTTCTCTGTACTGCTGACATCAAGAACTATTGCAAAGCTGCCAGTGTTCACAAAAACACAACACCTACAGCCTGGGCTTAAATTGACTTAAGGAAGCCTGTGTGCATTAGTTAAGAACACTCTCGGTTTAAAAACACTCCTCCGTTAGGCAGCTGTACCTCTGGATCTAGGCTACGTCTATGGAGAAAAGCCAATCTAAGCAAACAGGAAGGGTCTTATTTGAATGGTAATTCTTGCCTAGTTCTTAGCGTTGCTTAGGAAATAAAAGTTGAAATCAATACTTTGAGATAAGACGTTTTGCTTGGTTTTCTATTAAAGACTATGGCCCTCAACTACATCACCAATTTAAGGAAAAATACTGCTCTTACAAGAAGCACCTGAGGAGGAACTGGTGAATGTCATAGGGTCCATATGGTCTGTGTTTCCACTGACCTAAGGGCTTCTTATCTTATTTTTATTCTAGGTCTTCAAACCTAAAGGCAATAATGTGTGCTGCATTTATTTCAGTCAGACTCCAAACCAATGTCTATTGCCACATCCTCTGTAAATAACAGCAGAAACAAACCAGAGTAAATCTATGATATGATCAGAGTTTATTTTTGCCACTATGCTTGTATTGGGTGGTTACAGTGAGGACAGCCATAAGCACTTTGATATTTTTTAATGTCATCTTGTATCACTCTTTTGGGAACAGGAAACATAGAAAATACAACTGAAAATTATGAAGATCAAAAGATCAACCAATTTCTTTGAACATGAGAAAGGGCAGATGATAATATATTAACACTTCTCGTTTTCTGAGTAGTATAATGGAAATTTTGTGATAAAGCAGCACTTTCTAATAACAGGGCTTTGGTTGTGTTGGGCTCATGCTGTGGGCTGGTAGGCTTTGGCCACTGAGAAGTGACACCAGTTCAATTCCTCATCCTTGTTCCTCTGGCCAGAGCGGAGCCGGGTGGCAGGACTCAGCAAAGCCCTGCAGTCATGTTAAATGGAGAGCATCAGTCATAGCTGGGGGACCTGGTGCCTGAGTGGGAGCTGAGACCATGGCCTGCATGGGTTGCTGGCATTGTTCTGGGGGTGGATTGCGGGTGGACACCATCAGAGAGACCGGGCAGAAACATCATACATGGCTAGAGCTGCTCTTATTGAAGTTACTTGAGAACTTTATCTCAGTAAAGTATCAGATCTACAAGGGTAGAGGAGTATAGAAAGGATAAGGCAGAGACAGCAAGTGCAGCACCTGTGTTTAGCGTTGTTACTGCAGTACAGACAGAAGATAGAGAAGTTACGCAAGGTAAGGGTTCAAGATACTAACGAAAAATTGGGTCTGCCGCCTACATCTGCCCTGAAATGCTCCATGCTCTGTTATCTGCTCATGTGCTTGTCTTGTCCTAAATGTCAGGCTCCTTGAGCTGGGGTGAGCTATCTGCACACTGCCTGCCGCAGTGGGATTGCAGTCCATGGTTAGGGCTTCTGAAACCGTGTGAAAATAAATCACGAAAGGAAGTGATAGGTATTGTGTTCTGTTACTTTATAGCCTTTAACTCTGTAAAGAAAAAAAGAAAAAAATAAAAGCATCTCTAATGAACACAGCAGAAAGGTATGCGGTGGTAAGGTGACAGACACAACAAAAATAGCCCAGGTCTGACTGGGTTTGCTCAGGCAGAGTGGCTCTCTTTTCTCGTGTTAGCAGTTGTACAATATTAAATACAGTTGGTCCTTTTAAGTTTGCTTTTTACATTCGACCTGACCTTAACCTAAACAGTCTAGACCTAAACTACATCAGGCCTGCTATTGAGCAAGAAAGGAAATGGAAAAAGCATCTCCCATGTCATTGAAGCTCTGTGCGGGAGGAAAGTGAGCCGAGAGGCCGGCGGCTGGTTTCACGGTTCGCCCTCACACTGCAGCATGGTGGGCACTGGGCCTGGGCTGAGCACGGGCACCACAGGTGGGCCGAGGGGGCTCTGGGGGCTGTAACCTCCCTTCTGGCCTCAGTTGGTGTTACTCTGTGCCAGCATAGCTGAGAGCAGTGTGTTTGTTGCTCATTGTTTTTGCTCTGAAGCCACGTAATATTTTAACAGAGAACCGTCGTGCTTCATTTTGGCGGTGTTTCACCTCTGCTGTGGTGTCATGCTGAAAGTTCACCTCATGACCTATGTTAAAATGACTCCCATTGAGACTCCCCAACCCAGGGATGTTTCACTATTGAGCTGTAGTTAACTGGCAGAGGGTAGGCCCAATGGGGTGCCAGGGGGACCAGGGCTTAGGGCAGGGTCTGTAAAGCAGTGGTGACCGGTCTCATCCCATGAGGTCCATCACAGCCAGGCAGCTCCCAGTCCCATGGGCAGGAGAAGGAAGGAGGGCAAAGCAACATGCCGGCAGGGCATGAATGCAGGGAGGTGACAGCAGAGAGCGTGGAGATCGTGGTACCCAAGACAAGGGATGGATGGGAATGGAGCAGGACACAGGTTACAACAGCAACTGGAAACTAATGTTCATTTTGGTGTCTGCTTCAGTGACTGAGGCTGAGCAGTGCACACCTGGCACAGCTCTGTGCACGCTAAAGTGAGCCCTTGAAACCGAATGTGCTTTGAGCTGCAAGTAACTGCCAGCCCATAGCACAGGCCTCCTCCTCTCCTTTTGAGGCATTTTTGAGCTTGTGAGATTTTAAACAGAGATGTCAGGTGTGTCCTACTGGAAGGTGGCTCATTCAACTTAAGAATACACAGGAACATACAGCTCTTAGTGCTCGTGTATTTATCCTGTTTAGAAATGAATGCAAAGTAAAACCTAGGATTTTATAAGCATTAAGGTATGGCAACTCACAATTGAACTGCCTGTGTGAGAGTAGCTGAGGAATCATGGTTCATAGAAATCATGACTGAAGCACTTGAGTGGACAACTTCTGTTACCTCAGGGTGCGACCTCTCCTTCTGTCATTGCAATAGGAACACAAAGGTAGTCATGGAAGCCTTAATACGAACCTTAAACCTGAATATAGAAATCCTGTAAAGAGCATCCAGGAAATTATTTAATCATGGACTGAAAACTAGACAGAAGTATTTACACTGTAAATATTAATTTACTGGCTGTAGTATATTCATTGATTTTACAATCTAATATGGCTAAATCTAGTGCACTAGTAAATGTGTTTAAGACGAGTCAATATACAATGGTAAAATACATTTCCCATGCTTCAGCTTTGCCTGACGGCAGTAATCTAACTCTCAGCTCAGAAATTCACAGCCAATTAATTGACCTTGGTCTTCACAATTTTACCTGTCTTTAAACTTCATTTAAATAGTATGGGACTTTAATAATTGGATTTGTGAAATAAATGTTAAGGGTATTTTAAGAAGTAAATGATAATAAAATGGTAAAGACCAACGCATTTGGAAGAACCCTCAAAATAGCTAACAGAACTGATTCATCCTGTCACCAAGCACCACATGTGCTGGTAAGACCTTCTTCCTGTTTACACATTGCCATTGCCTGTTTAGTTTAATCACTTTGTGTTTTGTAGAATGACGTAGTAGCTGCATCATTTAGACATACATAAATTTGCCGTGCATTGTGGAAACAGAATGACCTTTAAAAATCATTACCTAGACTTACAGCAAGTTTTCACAGTCAGTGCAAAGGAAAACCCCACTCTTCAGTAAATAAAATGTGTTGGTAAGCTAAATTCAACAGAATATCCAGGACACTGGAAAATATACTTTTTTTTTAAATAATTTTGTCTCAGTGTGGAATATGCAATGCTTGTTTTTGAGTAAAATGCTACCCCCACACCAAGAGAAAAATAAAGTGCTTTTTAGTACTGCTGCTGAGATGGAACATATGAAAAACAGTAGATTCGTCATTTAAATTGTGCTTTCTTCCCCCTGTGCTTCTTATGTTCTAATACATAACAGATTTGTGAAAATTGTCAAAAGGTTGCTCTCCTGTAACTTCCTGAACCTTTTGGAATAAATGTTAAGGGGTGATAAGCTCTAATAGCAGTTTAACTTTTCAGCTGTCCCAGCAGTGACTGTGACACAAATGGCTCTTCAGAGCTGATAAATGCATTTATTCAGACTTTTCCAAAACAGAAGCTGCTGCGAAAAGTATAAGATAAAATTTATTCTCAAAGAGAAAATCATCACAAAATCGCATAAATCTCATGTAAGCCTGAATGTCTGGCCAAGTACCATGAAATTTACGCATCTAGATGGTTTTTGGAAATGACTTAACTGTGAACATTAGTATCTTATAAATAATGTAAATTTTTGGGCCAAGTCAGGGACAGCAAGACCTAATTCTGGATAAACCCTCGGTAACACCTCACCCAAGCTGTTGTCTATACCATTTCTTGAAGAAAGAAACCTGAGAGAAGCAACCAATGGCAATTATTTACATTAAAATAATAATATAAAATTTAACCAAACCCACAGGAAATGTATTATCTCACAGGGTAGCTGGACAGGCATCAAAACACTTCTTTCTCTCCCACAAATACCTCCTATTTGTACTCTGCTTTGTTTCTGTGTTTTGTTCCTATTTTGCAAACAGTTGTAATAGTCTGTTCCATGCCTTGTGCTCCAAGCTGCTATTTTTAATGAAAAACAAATTAGAAGAAAATATTTAACCAATGCAAAACGTGTGAATTGAAAAGTCTGAGCAGCACTGATGTGTGTGCATGCTCATGAATACAAATATGCCATGTTAAAAAGAAAAAAAAGATAAAAAACAGATGTTATTAGTATGGTGACCTTTCCATTTGTAGAAATTCAAGTCCTGTGGTTTATTTTGTGTTTTTGCACTTTCGGAGGCACCGCCTCAAAAACTGCGTCACCTTTGTTTGCACAGAAAAGTGGGTCAAGAATGAGGAGATCTTTTCTGCCAGGTTATGTGACAAAGGTGTGGCCATAAAGACCAATATCCTATTGACTGAAGCTAACGTTCTCCCCCTCTCTGTCTTTTTAGGTGGTTGTTTTTTGTTTTTTTTTTTTTTTTTTTCTCTTCCTCTGCGTTACTAGCATGAATGAAAATGATTAAAGTCGTGAGAATTAGTGAAGTAGGCACCTTATTTTGCTGGGATTTCTTCCAGAGGGAGGAACTGATTTCTCTCCAATGGCCATGTTTAACGATGTTACGAATGTGTGTCAAACAACAAGTTCATGGCCCTCAAAGCATCAGCGACTGGCACTGTGTGCATGCAAACACCAGACCATGCTCATTGCTGGCAAGGCCTCATTGTTTGCTTTCTTCTTCTTCTGAGGAAAACCACAGGTTTCAACAGGCACTTTAATGTAAAAACCTTCAAACTTTACCGAAAACCATTACCCATTTAATGCAAATCAATTGCAACTATGTCATAAGGCTGAAGCCATGGGAAAAAAACAGCTTTTGCGAAGTGTTTGAATGAAGCATGCAGCTTGAGACATTGCAGTGGCTTTCCAGGAGATACCAAATCAGTTACTGGGGAACGTAAGAAAGAAAATCATGCTGTTGTTTCTTTCAAGGAGGTACTAGATTTACGTATATTTGTGATGTATCGTCTTGCTCTGAGGCATCATAAATGTTACAGAACACATTTTGTCTGATGAAGAAGTGGCTACAGCTGTCTGTCAGAAGAGTTAATTTTTAAAATTCTTCTCACTTCAAAACAAATTTTGGCTAACTACTTTGTAGCATGACACAGCTGGAAACTTACCTTCACGTAGTCAGAGGTACACCCAAAGACATCCAAACTCAGCCTTAATTTTGGGAAGCCATAATCGGGGTCTTCTACAGGGAATGTTTCACCATGGGATGCATCATGCTCTTCATGCAGAGTGCTCTAGTTTTGAGAGGTTCCCCCAAATCATTTTCTCACACTTGCTTCTAGAATAGATGTAAGGCACCTTAAATGAGCTCCTGCATGTTTAGTGTAGCTGCCTGGCATTCAACAGAGTGACTCTGCTGCTTGGACAGAAGTTTTAACCCATTCCCTGTTGAGTGTAGCTGGTCACCTTCTGCCATCTGAGCTGCCACTTCCATGTAATGTCCTCTGCTGTGTGTAGGCAGCAGCTGGAGATTGAGCAATGTGGGTTCAGTGCATTTTCTGCCAGCCACATGGCATGATAACGCTGGAGCTGTGAAGAGCTGTCAGTACTGAGGCGTGCAGTACTCCGAGCGGCACCCGGTATGGGTATTTGCTGACTGATAAGTGTCCCTCTGGTGAGCAACCACTGGGTGGGACAGGAGCATAAAGCACCTCCAATAAGGCCCATCTCCATCCTTCAAAAGAAACCCGAGGCTGTTCCAGCTGAGGAGAAAGCCAGACCCCAGCAGTGGTGTGTCCCAGATGGAAACCATTGCTATCTTTGACAAGTATGCGAAGACAGCAGACAACACACAAACCCTCACCAAAGGAGAACTAAAGACCCTCCTGGAAAAAGAACTCCCAAACTTCCTCTCAAAAAGAGCACGGCTTAATTTCTGTATTATGGCAAGGGCCGCAGGCTTTATACATTACAGGGGAAGTTGCATCCAGAAACATGCAGTGGTTTGTAGAAACTTTTCTAAGTACGCCACTTGAATAAAACTGGAGTAAATGTAAAACTGATTCTGATAGTCAGAGGTATTCTCCATTTACCAAGTTCATCAAGTTGTCAGGACCACAGCTTTGAAATAGGTTGTTTTTTGTCTTCAGAATTAATCTACTTTTTATTCCCAGATTTATAATCTTACATGATGTCACGGCTGCTGGGAAGGTCTTGACTAGAGATGCAGAACCTCTCTACATATTTCTACACTTACTTTCCCTAGGTATTTATATCTGCATACTTAGTATGCGCATCAAAAGGATGCACAAACACAAAGAGCAACAGATGAATGCAGATCAAACTGTTTAGCACCTGCCTTTAATAGTAAAAGAAAGGCCTGAAAAAGTAGTTTACATCATAGGTTTGCATGTATGCCTCATGTACATTTAAATAGTTTATATATATATATACATATAAATAAAATATCTCCACGCAGGTATTCAAAATTCTTAATACATTATAGCAAAAGCTTTAGTTGCCTGGGAAACCAAATGCTTTTCCTTTTCAATTGTTTTTTATTTGCTTCTCTTTGCTAAAAATATCTATAAAATGTTTTTTAAAATCTTGCTCTTTGCACAGAGTACTAACATTTATTTGTACATCCAATTATTCTTCTTAAATGCAAAAATCTAGAATGAAATGTTCCAAATGTGGCTACCATTTTTTGTATCCTGTATAATTCAATTTTTTAACAACTACTTCAGGGCACTGCAGACGGTACTTGACATGAGTTAGTCTCTTTACAAGCAAGCTGCATGAAACCATGGTATGAAATCCATGCCTGCTGGATTTATGACTCACAAATTAAATACAGATGCAACATTCAGAATAAAAATCTGGATGGCTCTGCATGAATAGAAGAAAATGTCTCTGAAATTATTTTAGATCAGTGGTTGTGGCCCAAAAGAGTCATAGTAAGCTGTTCATGGTCATGGACTTGTATTTAGTCAAAGTGTCTCCACATGAAGAAAATCAAAAACAAAACACAACAAACAAGCAACAACAACAAAACATAATTATAAAGGGGTATGAAATACCCCCAAAACATGATATTTGACGTTTGGCCTATGAAGAGCTGAGGAGCCCCAATGACAGCTGAATGAGATGATGCTCAGGGCTGGCCCTGGATATGTTTGCAGGGCACCACCTGCTCCAGTTGTACGCAACTGCTCCTCCAGTCCTAACTACTTCCTGAAATCACTGGAAATAAACCAACATTTTCCAGGAGGGTAATTAGCTAAATGTGCTGTCATTTTCTAGTCTCCATCTCCATTTCCCATCTTTACATATTCTAGAGAAAAAGAAAAAAAAAAGAGAGAGAGAGGAAAAAAGAAAAGAAAGAAGAAGAAGAAGAAGCAGAAGAGAAGAAGAAAAGGAAGAAAAAAGAAGAAAAAAGAAAAAGAAAAAGGAAAAAGAATAAAAGAAAAGGAAAACGAAATAAGAAAAAAAAAAAGAGAAAACGAAAAAGAAAAAGAAAACAAAAAGAAAAGAACAAAGAAAAAGAAAAAGAAAAAGAAAAAGAAAAAGAAAAAAAAGAAAAAGAAAAAAAGGAGGGGGAAGGGAAGGGGAAAGGGAGAGGGGAAAGAAATAAAAAGGGAAAGGAAAAGAAAAAGGAAAAGATAAAAGAAAAGGAAAAAAAAAGTATGCCAGTATTAGAAAAAAATACTTTAAAAAAAAAAAAAAATTTGAAACAACTGATGCCTTGTTTTGCAAACTAATAACTGCAAGAAAGCAATGGAGAATATAAATCTGATTTTAGGGGAAAAAAAAAAAGTTACTGTTTTACCTGCATTTTACTAACTTTTTTTTTTTTTCCAAGAATATTCTGAGAAATAGGGTCCTTTAAATACACCTGTTTTATATCAATATGTCTGTTTTTAGGATTAGTTACATCTAGCAGAGCTCACAACTGCCTGGAAAGATCTTGAGTCAATCAGAAGCAAAAGTAAATCCATGTCATAAGACTGAAGGGTTGGACTAGGTTATAAAGAGTTTGAAAAAAAATATTCTCACATCAGAAGTAAAATTCAGAAGTAAAAACTAGTTCATGTGCTTCACTAAATATTTTTAAATATGCATTTATAAATTTAAAATTGATGATTGAAAAGAAATAGAATTTTCCAGACACATTCATCAATCAACTCTGGGCAATTGCTTCAATATTTAGGGATCTAAAGGTGCACATTTTTTAAAGTGAAACATGAAATTACAGAATGAAATATTTAATCAGACCGTGATCAAGCAGCGCCTCCAGGCACTTCCTTGAACATTTCCAAAAGTTTTTATATATTCTTTCGATTATAACAGCAGATTTGGGGTTGTTTAGCTTCAACAAAAGTCCCGCGGTAGTTTCCTATGTTCCATGGGTCTCTACTGCCATCACCTGTTTATTTTTCAAACTGCATTTTTCCTAAAACGAGTTGATCAGTGCCGGGACTCAAGCCAAAATAGACCTCCTGTGAGTTTTCTAGAAATTTTATTTATTTATTTATTTATTTATTTGTCAAAACGTATCCATATATACATATATATCTTTTTACTTGGCCATTGTCTTGCTTACTACCATCCTCACGACGGACTGGACTGGTGAGGCAGGCGGAAAGATGCCAAGTTGGAAAGAATAAAGTTTATTTTCTAACACTTTTGCCTGTGGTACCCGCAGCCCGGGCCCAGGGAGCACCCTGATACTGCTTAGGCTGTTCACATCCTTGCCGGGATGGCAGTGCTTGAAGCTTACATCCAACATTTGCCCCAAGGAAAACATCATTTTGGCTTTTTCTGGGCTGCAAAGCACATGAGCTCAGGCAGAGCCCTTCAGGGGAGGGTTTGGGGAATGCATGGGGTTGAACTCAGCTGTGTAATGTCCTTAAGGCTGTGTACGACACATCTTTAACCATGATGAAGGCTGTTTTAAAGGTAGAAAACTTGCCTCTCTGTGCTGCTGTGGCTCCCAGGTGCAGTAAAGCCAGGAGCATGCCTCTAGCGGGAGGCGATGCGCTTACTGCTGCCTTTAGCACCCTTGGCATGGGGATGCCAGCAGCACACACACAAACTTGTCCCCAGTGCCACCTGAAACCCCTGACCTCTGTGTGCTCCCTGTGATGCTTCTGGGCTTTGTGCATCCCCCCCACTGCAGCCCACTCCTTTCCTTTTGCAGACGGGGAAGAACAAGGATGCTAATGATGAAGTCTTCAGGAATCTGGATGAAAATGGTGATTCCCAAGTGGACTTCAAAGAATTTGTCATCTTTGTGGCAGCTCTGACTTGCTGCTGTCATAAATATTTTGAGCAGAAAGCAGCCAAATAGTTGTCGAAATGCTCACAAGACACTGTCTTTGCCTGTGCTCCATATGTTAATGCTATGGATCCTGTCATCCCTTCCATGTACTGTGCTGCAGTTTACAAGCATGCTGGGCTGTAAAAATAAATCCTCCAGTGCTTACATCCCTGTCTTGAATGCTAAAATCTACTCCTTTGTGGAAGGGCCTGGGCTTAATGGGTCCCACTAACAAGTACGGAGCAGTTTCTCTCTTTCTCTGCTTTTTGAAATGCTGTTCTTAGCCAAAAGGCTCAATATCCTCCCCAGGGCAGGGCAGTAATCTGCCTCTCCAAGCTCGCATGGATTTATTTCCTATTACAAGATAAGGCCCTTGTACCAGTACAGTGATATTGCCGTGCAGTTGCAAGGTAGATGGGGTTGCACACTGCAACCATAGAATCACAGAAGGGTTTGGGTTGGAAAGGACCTTAAAGACAACCCAGTTAAACCCCCTGCCATGGGCAGGGACACCTCCCACCAGACCAGGCTGCCCAAAGCCCCATCCAACCATGAAATAATGCTGAGTAAGGCTGAAGCTAAGCCACAGGTTTGACCCATTCATAACCACGTGGAGGTGGGCATATGTTGAAGTGTATTCATCCTTTTGGGAACCCACTGAGAAAAATTTGGTCCTATTGGATTACTTTGGGCTGTTTTAGGCTGTCCTTTTACCTAGCCACCTTTCATGCCTCAGTTGGCTCTACGAACTAAACAGTGCAAGCACCACCTAAAACTTCATTCCTAACACCTCGGGCACAGGATCCCAGTGCATATTACTGGATGTGACAGCTGGCTGCTTCAGGAAAGGGGCTGCCCTTCTCTTCCCCATCACTGCGTGGGATGAAGTAACCACCATCCAAGGGCCGGGATTCCCCTTGGTCCCCACTAGCTGCTGGCAGGACGCCTGAGCCCCTTGCCTCCCTCATACCCTTTGCCACATGTGTCTGGTGTTCACCCCAGCACCACACCAGGAACAGCGGCCACCCGCAGTGGGTGCAGGGGTGGTCCTCAAGTGCCCATCCCCTGCCCCAGGGACCACAGGAATGCGTCTCCGCTCCAGCACTGCTACGGACAGAGCTCACGCAACACAACATTTAGAAGCAAGGGCCCGCGTCTGTCCCCACATCGTTTTGGTCATGCTGGATGACACTCGGGAGGATACTGAGGTCCCAGAGACAAGTACATCACACACATTACACCTGCAGGAGTACCATTGCTTGCTTTGTTGGCAGTGGCCATTTCTCTGCACCACCCAAGCAAGACAACTACTAAATATGAAAAGGCACAAAATTCTCGCCAAGCCAGGGATCCCAAATCAGCCTTTTCTCCTTATCTTTTCATTTGTTTGAGGCATCTTCACAGCTCTAATCCAGTATGACCACACCTGATGAGTGCTGTGCAGCTCAGCCCTTGCCAGGCTGGCAGAGCCCAGGATCCCCTCGCTCACTGGTTTGTCAGGGCTCACCTGAGAAAAGCACTTTCCTCATTGTGAAGGCAGTTGATTATCATTTATGAATTATATGAATGTTACATATTCAGAGGTATTTACAGAGGAAAATTTCATGCATAGCATGGCTGGGTAGCCAGTTATATAAACCATCCTCAGCTGAGGAAATTCAGTTGTGTTTGTTACTTTATTTTAAAAAATGTATTTATCCTTTTATCATTTAGCATTAGTATCTAAAAGGTTTCCTCTGCATTGCTTCACATCCATCCTCACAGAAATTATGGTTTGTTACCACTGTGTGGCACTACATGCAGCCATTTCAGTGCCTGCTGAGTCTAAAACTCTCCATCACAACTGAGGCAGAATTTGAACTGGTGGTAAAACTCAAAAAAAAACACAGGTGTGCTTTGCACCGTGGCAATCTCCTCTCTGAATCATCGCTGTATGTCCCATGGAGAGCAGGACAATTTGTCCACAATGGGCATTTCACCGAGCCCTGTGGAGACTGCACCTCCTGGGCATTGCTGTACCCTGCAGCCACCCAAGGAGTGCTGCCCCTTGCTTGCCAGTCTCAGGTCTCTGGGGAAATCACCGCAGCACAGTTCAAAACACCACTGTGATCCCCTTTCAAATGCATCTTTTAAAGAGCACACAGGTGAAAAGCTGTCCTGTCAGCCAAGAGATTCACCTTATTACTCCATTTTATGTCTAATTTCAAAGAACGCACTGTTCGGTGGTGAGAGCTGTATCCCATTATGAGCAGTACTGTAATTTATCCTAAATTGCACTCTTATTTCCTAGACTCCCTGCTTCTGGTGTCTGCTAGCCTCACAACTGCACTCACTCTCTAATTCCATTTTGCCCCTTTTCCTGATTTTGTGAGGTTTTACCCGTGCTTGTAAGACATTTGAAGGCCTGCTTTACTCCACTTGGCCACAGTACAAAGCTAAACCCTTTTTGACCTGTCACCCCCACAGACTCTGAAACACCCTAAATGTTAGCACAGTGCTGAGCTAAAGCATGCTGCCTTTTGTGGGGGAGGACCTGAGCTTTCTCTCTTGCCACCAACTTAAGCATGCTAGGAAGAGAGTGGGATATCATTTTTTTCATTGTTCCTGCAGCCCCCAATCCTGTAAACCCTTAGGTTTGTGTTTAACTCCCATCAGGTCCCAAGGTCCCACCAGCGGTACCTGTGGGGATACCTGGAGAGCTACAGGAGCACCCCTGGGATTGCAGAGCCCTGCTTACTCCAGGGCCATGGGCTGATTGGAGAACCAGAGGGAGCCTCCCATGTTCACTGCTGCAGAGAGGGGGACAAAAAGGATTTGTATTTTTTTGGTGTTTTGTTGTGTGTGTTGTTTTTTTGTTTTGTTTTTTTTTTAACCTGCAGATCTTTCAAAAGCTCTAACTCTGTGATGAATATTCATTTCAATGTAGTACTGAAAATTCAACTGATGACACCTCAAAGAGAAAATGATCCAGGAATAAAAGAAATTAACATATAGCTCCCACCTTAGCCTAGAACAAAAGTGACTTTTCAGAATATATTATTCAACCTAAAAGCATTTCGGTAGAGACACTTTAATATCTTTCAATCCACTGATTTTCTTCCCCAGTACTATTAATTTCCTCCAAATCTACCCAGAATGTGCCATGCATTTCCTTCCCTGGATAAACTTTTATAATTCAGAGTTTGAGTTGCAGAGATGCTAGACCTGTTTTTGTGCCTACAGGTTAATCTTAGCTCTTAGGCCCGAGTATTATGCGGGACAAGATCATTTAAGAAACAGTATAAGGCAGCTTCAAGGGAAAGAAAACGATAAGATAAATAGCAGCTCAGCAAATATGAGCTAACAGTTGCTGGCAGCAAACATTTCGTTTAGTTTTGTTAACAGAAAATAAAAGATTTGGGAGAAAAATTATTACAAATAAAGATTTGGGAAATCATCTGTGGTGAGTTTCAAATTAGGCAAGGCTTATAAAGGCAAGACTACCAAATAGGTAGTTTTATTACCTTCCACAGAACAATATACATTTACATTAACAGAAGATACCTTCAAGAGATTAAGATACTCTGGTATAGATAGTTGTCATTTTGACATTTGGTGGGGTTCTGTTAAGCCTTTTCAGTTTTAAAAATGAGTGTATATACAGAAGATATACAATCGGCGTAATGCTACCTAACCCTGAAGACACTTACCTTGTGGTTTTGCCTGTGAAGATTCCTCATTATTTTACCTTCAAAATAATCATGGAGAAAAATAAGGATTCATGGAGAAAAAAAAAAAAATGCATCACCCAGGCAAGCACTGTGTCTTCCCAGTAAGCCCAGTTTGGGACTGGAAACCAGACACTTCTCTCCCCCTGCATATCTGCGAAAGCCACACTGGCAATATGGACCTTCAACACCTGACCCAGATTGCCAAGATCAAGCCCTTTACAAAATGCACTTTAGCTCCCTGTTTCCATATAAAAAGTGAGTAGAGAAGGAGGAGGGGGTGGAGGAGGAGGAGAAGTTACCTGTCTTTTATGCAATAGTCTCATGGTAAAACACTCTTGTAAGAGCTGGGAAATTGCATTCAAGTCTTTCCTCAAGTGAAACCCACACGTGTCAGCTGAGTGCGCTACATTGCAGGATCAGGGCTAGCATCAGGGCACCTGCCACCTGCTCCCCCCATTGCACAAGAGACAGGTAAGGCCTGAACTAGGGCAGGCGAGAGGCAGCACATCTCTGTAGCCTGGCAGATCGAGTATTTTGCCAGCAGTGCAGGGGTCTGCATAGTTTGTAGGGTCAGACTTTATATTTTAATCGATACCTACTTAAAACAGACATCTGGCATAATTAAAAGTTCTTGTCAGGTGAGTTCTCAAGCCACTGATGGGCTGAGCTACACTCCAGCTCCATCCCTCTCTCTAGATCCCATGCAGCAGGCTGGAAGGGTCTCAGCAGAGCAGGAGACATCTCCTCCTCCTCCTCCTCTTCCTCTTCCTCCTCCTCCTTCAGCTCAGAGTAGATGGCCACCCCTCTAAGGTGGTGTAACGTGGTGGGTGATGCTTGACTCAGCAAAATCCTGCCAGCACATCCCCATCCCTGGGTGTGTGCAGTGCTTCAGGAAGCTCTAAAATACAAACAAGCTGACTCCTGCTCAGATAGCTGGAAGGAAGGATCAAGATCTCTCTTTTACTGAAGAAGTTTCATGTTTTCAGTGTCCTCTGAGACCTTACCCACCATCTGGTGCTGCCTGCATGGTCCCTGATAGACATACTCATGCTTGGGGGTCCCTTTCTGGGACACCTTTCCACTGTGCTGGGAGCAGAGCCTTGGTGCTTAGCACAGGTTTCTGCAGCCTGCTCTCCGAGCCACCCACCTGGAAATTAGTCATTACAGCACCTAATTGACTGTGCTTTTATATGGCTTTTTCAGGCCATTTTCTTCCCTAGACTCATTCCTTTTTTTTTTTTCCCCTAGTCAACAATTTTATTTTCATTCCTGTACCTGAAAACCTCTGAAAACCTGGAGAAAGAAAACTTGTTTTTATGGGCGCAGCTCTTCTGCTCTCCAGCAGGTGATAAATAGTTGCATACATCATATAATGCTGCAGGACGAGGCAAGAGAATAGACTATAAATAGGCTTAATTTTGC